GGATGGGTGGGAGGAGGTGGTGGTGGGAGGAGGAGGTGGTGGGAGGAGGGGTGGGTAGGCAGGCGGATGGTGCGGCAGGATGACTGGTAAGTGGACTCATGGGAGCACTGAGGGACGTAAATGGAGGTGCGGAGCGTAGGTGGGTTGGCGGGTTGGCTGGAGAGATGCTGTTATGGGTGGAATTGTGTCCCCGAAAGGTGTGTTGGAGTCCCCTCCCCCAGTGTCGGTGAGCGTGGCCTTGTTTGGAAACAGGCCTTGGAAGACGTAATCACGTAAAGGCAGGTCATGAGCGCGGGTTCTAACCCAACATGGCTGGTGTCCTCATGGGAAGAGGAAATGCAGGGAGGAGGCCCTGTGGCCTCGGAGGAGGGAAGCCGCAGCCAGAAGCCGAGACAGAGGCAGGAGGGTCCTCCCGAGTGTCAGGGCAGCGTGGCCCTGGTGACCCCTGCTGTGGCCTCTCGCCTCCAAACTGAAAGGCAGTTATTGAGGCCGTGCAGGGGCACAGCCACCCTGGGGACTGATGCAGAGGATGCGTGAGGCTTGGGTGGGTGGCTGGGTGGGTAAGATGGTGTGTGGGTGACAAAACAGGAGATGACTATCCCAAATATTACATGACACTCATTAGAAAATTACCTATTCTTTATCTGAAATTCACATTTAACTGAGCACGAGTGTTTATTTAATCTGGAACCCTATCTGGGGCAAGCGCTCCTGGGGGTGCGTGGGGGCCCCCCAGTGCCAGGAGACATTTATTGGGGGCCTCAAATCCTTTCTAGAACAAAGTACCGGGGCAGCAAGGGATGGGGGTAGGGAAGGAAGGGGGGAGGGAGGGATGCAGGGAGGCCCACAGCCCTGGGGCCTGGGATTGGTGGTAAGGGCACAGGGATCTGGACAGGGGCCCAGGCCAGGCCAAGGGGCAGAGCATGTGCTGGAGGAACCCAGAGGTGCCACCTCGTGCCAGTGCCCAGCGCTGTGCCAGGAGTTCTGCCTGGAACTGAAGCCTGACAGGAACATGACCCGCCCTGGCCTCGTACCTGGGGGTCGGCTGACGTCGGCAGAGAACAGCCAGTCGGCAGCCTTCCTCGCGTCCACGCCCACCAGGTAGAACTTGCCGAAGTAGGACATGTCGAAGACAGCCGCCGCGCCTCTGCAGGCCAGGCACTCCTGCCTGATCTGCAAGAGCCAGGGTGGGTGCCAGGGGCTCTGAGATGTGCCCCCTCCTGCCCACCAGGATCACGGGCACTGGGGCTCTCTGCTGCCACCCGCTCTGAGCCTCCCCTCCGTCCCCTCCAGCTCAGAAACACCGTGACATCTCAGACACAGGAACACGCCCAGGGTAGATCATCAGCCATAAAAGCAAACCTAATACTTTCAAAAGGATTAAAGCAGCGGTTCTCAACCTGTGGGTCACGACCCCTTTGGCGGTCGAACGACCCTTTCACAGGGGTCGCCTAAGACCATCCTGCATATCAGATATTTACATTACGATTCATAACAGTAGCAACATTACAGTTATGAAGTAGCAACGAAAATAATTTTATGGTTGGGTCACAACATGAGGAACTGTATTGAAAGGGCCAGAAGATTGAGAACCACTGGATTAAAGTCATACAAAGCATGTTCTTCGACCACAATGGAATTACACTGGGAATCTAGCAGGACATTGGAAAACTCTCAGAGCAGTGAACCGGAACAACAGCCAGCAGATCAGGAAAAACCGCAAGGGGACTTAGAAGACGTTGAGCGGAGTGACAATAAACCCGCCATGTATGAGAGAGTCTTAAAATGCTTACGAGTAAATGTAACAAAAGTGCAAAACTGGAATTAAAAACGACAAACTATTTTTGAAATACATCAAAGAAGACCTGAGCAAGTGGGAAGACATCGTGTTTACGGAAGACTTACTGTTGCCAAGGGGAAAACACTCCCCAAGTGGACCTACTGTTCAACACCATCCCTACCAACAGCTCCGCCGACCCATGGCAGAAATTGACAAGCTGATTCCAAAATTCATATGAAAATGCGAGGGACCCAGAATATTCAAGACAATCTTGAGCCCTAGCTGGTTTGGCTCAGTGGATAGAGCATTGGACTGCGGACTGGAAGGTCTCGGGTTCAATTCTGGTCAAGAGCACATGCTCGGGTTGCAGGCTCGGTCCCCAGTAGGGGGTGTGCAGGAGGCAATCTCTCATCGTTGATGTTTCTATCTCTCTCTCCCTCTCCCTTC